TCATGTGATGTTATACACATCATGATGTATTCAACTTGTCTCATGTGATGTTATACACATCATGATGTATTCAACTTGTCTCATGTGATGTCATACACATCATGATGTATTCAACTTGTCTCATGTGATGTTATACACATCATGATGTATTCAACTTGTCTCATGTGATGTCATACACATCATGATGTATTCAACTTGTCTCATGTGATGTCATACACATCATGATGTATTGAACTTGTCTCATGTGATGTCATACACATCATGATGTATTGAACTTGTCTCATGTGATGTCATACACATCATGATGTATTCATCGCGCAGCTCAGCTTTAGGATTTTGACTTTCACTTTAAAGAAAAGTTATCAGCCCCTGGCCGTGGTTGACATCGCTCATTTTGCTCCTGTTTTTGTGTCTGTTTGTGATCTTATAAGAATTGCTTATGTGAGTCCTCATATGTGCCTCATCATTAGCTCACAGACGATATCAGATTAAAGACGCCATCCGGCTTGGCACTTCCACTGTTCTGTCTCATCAAATGACATATTTACGACCTGTTATAAACGTGCACACACTCTGTCATTATGTTGTTGCATTACACCACTTACACACTCGCCCTGCCGGTTCCTTTCGGCCGTACTGTGGATAGCATCAGTGTACTCACACACTGCCACTGTGATCCATAACCAGTTTTCTCAGCGACTCGAGCAGCTGAACCATTTTCCAGATTTTAACAACTATTTAATATTTGTTTTGACAAAATTAAAATCAGAAGGTAAGTAATCCTTCATTTGTTTGTTTTGTGTGCGTGTTTCATATTTTGTGTCCAGGATTCCTACACGTTCTTAAAAAGTATTGATTGGAGTTCCTTTGAGCATTTTCAGGACTGGATCTGTATGGAAAAAAGAAAATAGAGTCGATCAACTTTTCTGATTCTGGACTTTACTCACTATTCTATTTTTCAAGCCATATAGTAAACTAAATTTCTAAAAATACATGGCCCAACAATAAAGTACTTTTTTTTTTTTCTAAAAGATGTACTTTCTTGTTGTTTTAATAAACACAGTTTGTCCACAGGACCAGTTTGACTTACTGTAGGCAATGGGACAGGGTTTCCTCAGCGTCCTAAAAAGTAATGGAAAGTCTTAAACAAATTAAAAAAAATTCTCATATTTAGACCTTAAAAGTCTTTTTGTGTACAACTCTTTTATTTTAGGTTCTAAAATACATTTAATCACATCCTAAATTTGTACATTTGTTTGTGCATTCCTCCATCATCTTTTTAATGCACAGTCAGCTTTAATTTGTCTCTGTTGTAGTTCTGTCTGAAAACTTCTGTTGTTATTAGACTGTAATAAAACTCAAATCCCCATCATGCATCAGACCTGTCTGAATTTATTGACTAGCATTCAATTTTCCTGTGAACCCCGTTGCTTCTCCTTAAACAGATTTTTTTTGTTGATTTTAGATGATTTTGATTGAAATGAAAATCAATCATTTGTTGCTTTATTAGATAAAATGTTGTATTTTGTATCTCCTTTAACATTGAATCATAGTGGTCTTTAAACATCTGAAACGTCTTAAATGTAAGTGACTGAGACCTGTGGGATCATGGACCACAAACTGAATTCAATCATGAGGCCAGAATTCTGCGTGCAGCTCATGCACAGCCTCCTCTGCAGAGATACAGCACAGCTTGTTTTGTGTCATTCTGTTGTTCTTTCTTTTATTTTGAGAGGTTTTCTGTTTTGATGATGTTGCTGAGGGTCAAAGTGAGGTGGCTCATGGACTGCTTCTCACCTTACGTCACATTAATGCAGACCATTTGTTGCACAAGGTTTACAACTTGGCATCCAGGTGTTTAGCCTTAAAACGTTCTTAGCTTTTCCGATGTCTCTTAACTAGAACAATTTTACAAAAGTAACCGTGTTGTTTCAAACACTTGAACTGGCTGATCTGAGAACTGTTTGATTGAAACTATACATTTCTCACAAAAATGGGATAAAATGATTTCTTCAGTCGTGTTATGTGCTAAGCACCGTTTGTGTAGAGTGTGTTGTGTAATGGACAGTAACAGTTTGTAGCGTACATGAAAATGGAATGACAGTGAATGATCAGAAGAGAATGTGGTGGACTCTTGAGAGCAGAAACGTGTAGAGCGCCTGTGTGTAACGGCTCAGTGACAGGTCTGTCTGGACTCGTGGCATCTTTGCTGTGGCGCTCTGAATATGGGTCACTCTAATTTTAAACCTAATTCCTGGCATGGACTTTTGGCCTTACTGTCTGCAAAGTACATGACCCAAATGGGTCTAAGACACTTTAGGAGACTGCTGCTCACGTGCTAAAAACCATAAATATTTAAAAATGATGAGGTCAAAAAGTCTAGACTTTACACTCAGAAATACAGTGAAAGTATTTAAAGTTTTATTCAGAATATTGTGTTTATCATTATTGTGTCAAGTTTGAAATTGTCCATTGCTCTATTTAAAGAGAGCTTGTGTTCTGTTTTGTGTGTGCTAAGTGTGAGAGTAATGTTGACTGTAAGATCCTGGAAGGGATCGGTGATGAGATCAACTAAAAGTGGTCTTCTGCTTTTCATGTTTCCACCCAAAGACGAGCCGACTCGCTCGCTCAGCGGTCTGATTCTGAAGAACAACGTGAAAGCTCACTATCAGAACTTCCCAAATGGCGTATCTGAATTCATCAAGAGCGAGTGCCTCCAAAACATCGGAGACTCGTCTCCCCTTATCCGGGCCACAGTGGGTAAGTTTCATCCATCGTTCCACTCCATGTGACGTCTCCAGTCACAGACGTGTTTTCATGTTTGTTGAATTTGCCGGCTGCCGAAGCTCCCGGTGTTCCTGCAGATACTCGGTGTGCTGTCCACATTTGACCCAAAGCTGAAGGTTTGCTTCAGTTTTGTGGGAAGTGTCACAAATGGTTTGCTGATGCACATGAAGCGAGATCAAATCTGCAAAACTAGTCCAGAACTTTGTAATAAGCGAATGTAGGATGTCAATATTGAATATAGTTAAAATTACATTTATAGACATAGTTATTGTTTTTTATTGAAATCAAAATTGTATTTGCATCATATTTGTATCTCCTTTAAGCAGGATAGAAATCAGAACAATGTTTCTTTTATGAAAAAATAAAAGAAACATGACAGATTTTGTGCCATCAAAAATAATTAGCTACACAAGTTGTTGAAATTGACATATACCGTACTTGCCGCAGTAAACGTTGCACCGCCGTATAAGTCGCATCAGTCCAAATGTGTCTAATAAAGTGGAATAATCCATAAATATGTTGCTTCGTTGTATAAGTCGCATCTATTACGCGTCACCGCTGACAACCCAGAAATGTGGGCCGGTGTGCCAAAAATTGATAGGCTGCCAAATGGTGGCCGCGGGAGTGTGCATGGGAGGACTTTAACAAGAATTTAACAAGATTAACACTTACAAACAATTATTTGTTTGCTTGACTTTATGGTGAAGGTGTGTCTCAGTTAAACTTTTCCTTAATAAATGCACTTTAATTGTCAAATCAGCTGCATTTCTCCTGGGCGGCACGACAAAATGCAGCTGATTTGACGTTTGCTCCAGGAATTCCAGAGCGAGACGAAGGTGGCTGTATGACAAGCCAAGTGTCTCATTAATAGCCACTTTTACCTATTAATGACACACTTGGCTTACCATATTACTCGAGGGCCCTCTAGCAGCTGAAAATGGTAGTGCTCAATAGGGGTGTAACAGTACGTTAAAATCACATTTCGGTTCAATTTCAAGGAGGGTTCGGTTCATTTTCGGTACAAAAAAAGACAAAATAAAGACTTACAAAATGTTTGTTTTGAAAATATACCAAGTAAACAATACGTTTGTATAAAAATAAATAAAAGCAACCCATTTGATAATATTTTAAATAAACAGCACTCTTACAATAAATAAACTGTAGTGAACTAGGCCTCCGACAACACTCTGTCTCTGAAGACCTTCAGGGGACAGAGTGTTGTTTCATTGATTTGAATCCAGAAATACAAATTATCTCATCAAGAGACTATTTAATTGTATCCTGAATTAATCAATTGAAAGAACACTCTTCTTTTTACATTATCATTAATATTTTACAATATCTTGTTAATCAAAAGTGTGTTTAGTTCATACCATTTCTAATGTTGAAGTGAACCACTCATTTAAATCAACTGTGAAACAGTATTAATGATTTTTAAACCTCATTTGATTTTGATCATATAGTTAAATGCCTATTTACGAAGTAAGTGCATTTAGTCTTCTGTCTGAATGAGGAGTATTGATGTCGGTCGAAAGTCAGAGACGAGTTATTAGAACGAAGTGTTTTGTTTTTAAAACTCGCAGACAGTAAATAACTTCAACTGGCACCTGCATTTGTCTCACCTCTTCATAAACATTTCTCTGTCTGTACTAATCGTTCTTAAACATTCCTGCTTTCTCCTGACTTCTAGTGACCCTCTGACATCACTAGAACCACCCCCCTGCTAGTTGTTTCAACCAATCAGGAAGTACCACGTAACAGGAAGTGGATACCCCTTTAAAAGGCAACACTTCTTGGAACTATTCAGTCCTGGAACTATTCAGTCCTGGAACTCAGTCTTCAGTCGAAGTCTTCTTCGAAGTCTTCACGAGTCTTAGTCTTTTCCAGTCTTGCTGGAACTTTCAGTCAGAGATGAGACTCAACTAAGCAGCGGATGGATTGGACCATGTGCCAAGGGTCCCTCCATTTCAGCGGAGTCACAGCTCGCATCGCTGTGCACTCAACCCGAGCAGTACATGCTCTCAACTTCGAAGGAAGCTTATTCTGTTGATCGGAGCATATGGAACTACTTCTAAAGATTCTCAGCCACCCTGACCGGAGACGCTGAAAAGGTAGCGTACCAATGGACCTCTGTTCCGGAGCTTAAGTATCCTCTGCTCAGGTAACAAGCCGTTGACGCCATGAGTGTACCGGAGGGCTGAGCTGGATTTGGAGGAAGGGTGCCATTTTCTGGTTCAACACATCTTCCCTCATCCATCTAAACCTCCTCTTTAAATCTTTAAACTTCTATTCTCCTTCTCTTTAAACTTCTTCTATTCATCAGTAAATCAAACTAGATGCCTTCAGAGATGAATCAGTCTCAATCAGTAATGTTCTTTTGTCTTGTTTAGTAAAGCGTGCCAAGTTTATTAATCAGAAACAGATCAGCAAATCAATGTGCACATGTTTGATGTTAAAATTTGATTCTGTTAAATAAATGACCGCATTTATTCTGATGGGTCAAAGATAAATTACGTCTCATGTCACTAATTATACACTCCACTCTCAAGTTATCTCGGTCACATGGCAGAAATTTAACTCGAAAAAGAAAGAATCCGTTGTAATTAAACAATTAATATTCTTTGTGCTTGAACTAGCTTTAAGAATAATTAATTAGTAGTGAAGTTAACCCTTACATCACTACAAACTATACTAAGAATAATAAAAATCTTAATACAATAAGTCAGAACCAGAACAATAAGCAACAACAGACTGTTTACAATGTATCTAATCAAGTTTTTGACCAAAAAGACCAACTTGTCCACATTTTCTGCCAAAAGCTCAGATGTAGTTGCAGTGAATCTCTCCAGCGGTGGAGAAAACCTCTCACTAACACCAGGAGCAGGAATAAAGAGGTAGAGCTTTGATCATTTTACAGTGTGGCTGGATGTGGCCTCATCATCAGTCACAACCTCTTGGACCTGCTCCCACAGGTGGAACAGGTCCCTGGAAAACTTCAGAGTTCACTCATCACACACTTCTTAGCTGGAGGTGATCTCTGGTGGACTTCCCTGAAGAGGAGGAAGACTCAGCTGCTGTCTCTGTCCCAGACTGGAAATAAAACAGAGGTTAAAAAAAAGAGTTATGAGATTCTAATTTTAAATTAAAAAAAGTTAATTAGATAATAATAATAAAATAACAATACCACTTCTTGAATATGTTATGAGGTGGTTGAATCTCTCGCTCATCATCATCAGGGCAGGACTTTAATCTGGTCCAGGGCTTGCTGACGATCAGTTTTATTTTTTTTCATAAAGTGCTGCTACAACTGTTTGGCTGAAGTGTTGACGTGATGTCGTAGTGGGGCTCAAGAACTTTAAAACCGGCACATCAACAACAGAAACGTAGATCCTGAGCTTTAAAAACTCCTACAGCTTGTGTTGTTGCTCTGGACTGATCTGAATGACCTGATACAGGTTGTTTAAATTCTGCTGTTATCGCTCTTTGCACCAAGCTGCTAGAAGAGACGTTCACGTTAGGATGATGTCGTTTCAAGTTGTTAACAAGTTCAACGTGTTGCTGCTGCACATCCAGTCTCTGTGAAACAACGTCGACACACAGCTTTGATTTGTTCACTTGTCTCTTAACAAGAAACACATAATGTTCCCAAACAGGAGACCGCAACGACATGCTAGGCTGCTAATGCTAATGCTACGCGTGCTGCAAGATAATATCGCCGTGCTGAAACACGCTGAGGAATTTTAGTTCCGCGGCGCATAATCTCTCGTTAATAAAATTTAATTAATGAAAAAATAACCGAAACGGTTCGGTACACCCACGTGTACCGTTACACCCGTAGTGTTCAATATTTTCCATGTCAGAATGAATGAAATGGTCAGATCTCAGCCAAACATTGGTTATAAATATGAAACCAAACAGAAAACATAAATACGTTGCTTCGCTGTGTAAGGTGCAGACATGCTATATTATGCAGAAACTGCGACTTATCCAGCGAAAAATACGGTAGTCATGTTTTTCTGTTTAGTACAGCTGCTTTTTGGAGTGTAACAAACTAAAAACCTACTAGTTCTTAACAATGTAAATGTTGTGTAAACTAGTAGATTTTTAAAATGAAACTGAGGCATTTTGTGTTTTGAACATGTTAGAACTTTTTTGATCCTGCAGGAAATTGTTGTGTCAGAGTTTCAATACATTTTGTCAGTCAGAATATTTGAGCAGATGCTGGATTCCTGTTTATATTTTTAATGCTCATGTTTTTTTTTTGTTTTTGAGGAATTTGGTAAATCACAAATATCTTGAGGAAGAGATGATTTTGGTTTGCAGTGGAAAGAATTACAAAATGATACTGTCTTTGGTGTAAACACACAAAAAGATAAATGTTCTTGAATATTCACTTGTTTCTTGAGTATTTCTTTGGTCCACAGTGATTTTGTAGGAGGATGCAGAAGGAATGAAATGACAGAAAATACTTTTCAAAGAGCAAATATTTCAAAAGTAGAATCAGTGTTTTCACTAGGGGTTGAACGAGTATCTAATTTTTAAACTCGACATTAACATAATAAAACCCGAGTAGAACTCGAGTATTTGATGACGTCATAGATCTCAAGATACAAAAATAAATAAATAAATAAAACCACAAAAAAAAAGTAATTATTTACAACAAAAAAAAAAAAGACCAACAAAAGATTGGGAGCATATTTTATGCTCCTCCCATTTATCATACTGCAAATAAGTCACAGGAAAAACTAAACTATTAGTTATTATTATTAAACTGCAAACGTGAAGAAACGTGGGCGTCAAAAACGAAACTTAAACTGAAGCTGGTTCTGGTTCAGTGGATTGGACCCGGTGTTACACCATACTCTGTGACCTGCAACAGTGCAACACCGCCCCCTACGGTCATACGTGGTCACATAATATGACGTCACTACGGATACTCGATGTTAAATTTTTAACCTCGATAGAGGTCCTAGCAATCGATGTGTAGATTACTCTGTTAATGCCCTAGTTTTCACCACATGATGATCTCATGATGGATGAAGGTGGAGGCTCACTCAGATGAGCTGTACTCACCCAGAACCTTTGGAATGGGCTGGATTGGACCTGCTCAGCTTTTCTTTCTCTTATTTTTATAGGAGTTTTTTTTCTGACTTGCTTCATCTTTTCATTTCTTTCAGTCATTTTTCTGCAGGACATTTGTAGTTAGATTTTAAGGCTGCACAACACTGAGCTTTTCTTGGGCTCATCATTTTCCTCTTATGTGCTGTGATGGTTGAAAGGAGCAGGGCTGGATTAAAAAATGTTTTTAAGCAACTTCTAGGTTTGTGGTGCTCCGTGTGATTTGTCACTAAGGCTGCACAAATAACCATGACCATTTTCATGAATTTATCGACTCGTTTTCCTCCTTTCATGCTTTTAAATGAAACTCAACAGTATCTCACAACAATGTAAAGAAAAACTTTCAAAGTAAAACTTAATATTTAGATCTAAAGATCCAACTTGAGCGTGATAAAACAAAGTTCTCATTATAATGATATTTTGTTTAAGTGTTTTACTTAAAATACCATTGCTTACAAAAACAGAAGTTAAGAGAAGAACAGAGCCAAGTTTGTAGAGGAAACAAAACTTGATACAACACCGGTCCAGCTGTGGGCCCAGATTCAGGCCAGTGTTTCCTCCAACATTGATTATAGGAAAAGGAAACAACATGTCAAACCTTGCAGAACCTATAAACTAGGTATGCACAGATACCACATTTTTTAAAACCAAGTACTATAGTATGTGCATTTGAGTACTTGTTGATGCCAAGTACTGGTATGAGTACTAATAAACACCATTAGACTTCTTAAATTATTTTGAACATGTTTGAAAATCGTGGGCGCTGACTTTTCATACCGACTCCTGAATCGCAGCAGGACAGCTCTGGTATTTTCCCAGAGCTCCCATTGATCAGATCTGTGTATTTTCAGGATCCTCTTCTGTTCAGGGAGATGAGTCGTTCTTGCTGCTCTTAGCAGACTCTTTGAACTTGACGTCCCGTTGTTGGTTTTTTAATGTTTGCTTCTATTGAAAATACTAGACTTTTTTTATCCTCTTGACATCTTTGCTGAGCAGAATTTGGAGTCCGTTTTACTTTTGTCACCAGTGTTTACTTTGAAATATGACTTCTGCAGGTGTTCTGTGGTGATTGGTAAACAACATAATTGTGCATTAGTGCCACCTACAGGTAGGGAGTGTGGCTCGGGCAACACAAAAACTTAAAAACCTACCTTAAGTGGTGTCGGGCACTGTGGTTTTGGAAGACAACAAAATACACACAGTATTACACCAATACCCAATACTTGTATGTGTCCATACCTAGCACAGTCCACCCTTTAGTTGTCAGCTAGCTTGAAGTTCTGCAGGACATCTGAAAGCCTTTGAAGTGCACGTTCAATTCCACGATGTAGCAGAATCTGCTTCATCCACGTTGATGATTTAAGTATGTAGCTCAGACAGAGCCAGCAGGAACACGACGGACACATGTCACAGTTAAGTGACAACCGTTAGTAGCAGAATTATTAGTCAAACAAGTGAAACTAAATCTAAATCCCATTGCAGGTATCCTCATCACTACCATTGCCTCTAAAGGAGAACTGCAAAACTGGCCTGAGCTTCTGCCTAAACTCTGTCTGTTACTGGACTCTGAGGACTACAACACATGTGAGGTGAGAGGACACTGCTTAGAACAGACTGGGTGTAATGTTGAGACATAAATCACGTGCACTTCATGTGAGCCTTTCATTCAAAGTTTGACCTTTTATTAAAAGGTAGATAAAGTTTGCAGCATCATTTATCTTTCCAGTGTGAGTTAAACAAATATCTGTGGCTGTATAAGGAAGCATGTTTCTGCCTCAGGGCACAGTCTGTTTGTGCATTTATGTATTAATTTGCTGTGGAACGAGATGAGCTGGGTCATGTTTAAAGCAGCATCTGGATGGTGTCCTGCTGGCCAGCTGAGCTTAAGGCCGTCTGCAGCTGGAGCAGCAGCTACGACAGATTATTCAACATGGAATCATCAGTCTGTTTCTGTCCGTACTGCAAAACCATATGACCCCATTTTCTGTCACACATAATCGCCCAGAAGGGCTTTTATAATGAGCATATCTGCTAAGAAAGAGCTTCTGTTCATAGCTGCATGTTTGTTTTTAATCCATAATCCATTGTTGTCCAGTTGTTTGCACTTTAATATCTTTATCTCCCTGATAGTTCCAGTTTATTATTATCATCTCTTTTGTGTTGCTTTAAGAAGCAATCTCATATCTTGATTAAATCAGCACTTTAACACAAACTACACTGTCACAACAGTAAATGTTAACTCTGTGATAACTCATTAGGTTTTCAAAGGTTAGCTGATCTGATTTGTGTACTGTAGTGAACCAGATGACCTCAAATCTACCAGATGGACAGAGACTGTTATTTTCATTGATCTGAATAAGTCTGGGCCATCTGATGACTTTCTTTCTTGAATTAATCAAGCAGAAAAGACAATTCTTTATAATCATTACTGTCTTACAAATGTTTTGATAATCAAATTGTGTTAGTTCACTCAATGCTTATAGGTTGAAAAGAACTACTCATCTTTATTTTACATAAACAGTAAGTAATGATTTTTATTCCTCATTCCAAGAAGAAATCACCTGAATAAGCATTCCTTGATTTTCTGTCTGAAATGAGTCAAGTCGTAAGTATGTGAAAGGTTGGTTTTCGGTCAACTAAAATGTTTACCGAGAAAAATGTCATGTTTAAACTTTTTCAGAAGATTACCAAGAGTTGACTCCACGAAGTCTGCTGTTGCTGCAATAATCTTTTCTGTATGTGAAAACAAATTTCATTCTCTGACCTCGACTGTTGATAAACACCTTACGTCAAAACCACTCCTCTTTCTGGTCCTTCCACGAATCAGAAAGCTCTAAATTGAACAGGAAGTCGCCCCAAATAAAATGTGGCAACTTCCCAGTTCATGTTAGATTGAGAGTGACATGGAGTTCCAAGATTGAGAGTGCAGCCGGTTCTGAAAGTTTCAGAGCAATGAAGAGTCCAAGAGAGCAATGAAGAATCCAGAGGTTTTTGGGATTATAATTCTGTTTTGAGCTAACTACGCACGACTCTCTGAAGGTTTGGTAGTTCTCGACGGAGACGCTGAAACGAGTCAGAAAGGAACTACTCCGACGCTGATTCATCATCAACAGGTAGATGGTTCTATTTTGACCAAGTGTACCGTGAGAAGCTGAGATCGGACGGAGCGTGCAATTTCTGGTTAAACAGATTAAACTTCCCTCACATATTTCCTCTGTAAGATAAATCTCAATTTACTCTTAAACTCACCTCTCTCTCATAAATCAGTGCAGATATTTTTAGAAATATCTGAAGCAAAGTCCTCAAATCACCGCCGAGTGATTTGAATTTCATTATTTGTGAAACTGTCTGTTATTATTTTCATATTTTGCCAAATTAATGTAAATGTTTGATGTTAAACTTTGATTCTGAAAATAAATGATTCCATTCATTTGATGGGTCAAAGGTAATAACGTCTCTTGTTCGCATTCCTTTAAATTCAATGCACGGCATTACACAGTCAGAAAAATGAAGAACTCGTGAAAAGTATGCATAAATATATATCCATATATTTGTCATACAACAAGTGACACGTACCTCACGTGACTCACTACAGTACCAATGATGCAACCACATTTTGTCACAGAACTGATCATAATACCAGTAATTAAGGTCTGTAATGTTCTTAGCCTTTGTGTGTGTGTGTGTTTGTAAGAAAATATCTCATAAACCACTGGCCAGATTTGAATGAAATCCTCAGAAATATTGGTTGTACATCAATTCAATTCAGTTTATTTATAAAGCACCAAATCACAACAAAGTTGTCTTGGGGACTTTACAGGAACATTCACATAAAGCCAGTTAGTAAAGTTCTCTATCTGAGGAATCCAGCAGACAAGTTGAATCTAGGCTTCGTTGCAGTCTCCCATCCTGAGCAAGCACAGTGGAGACAGTGGAAAGAAAAACTCCCTTTAACAGGAAGAAACCTCCAGCAGAACCAGCTCAGGACAAGAGACCATCTGCTTTGACCGGCTGGTTGAGAGGACAGGAAGGAGAGACAGACGAATAGGGCTGGGCCTTATCATATCATTCATGATAATACCAGTAAAAAAAAAACTTGCCTGGGCAAAAAAATGATACCATGATATGCTAATTTCATGACATAATATGTCAGGGCGCCCCGCCCCTTTAACAGAACCGCGCGCGCCCAATGACCTAACCGAACTGCGCTCCCCCCTCCACCTGTCGGTACTGGCGTAACGCTAATTAGTTGCGCAATACTAGCTAGCTAAAAAGCTAAAAACAAACAACACGCAGCTCAGCTGTCTCTCCATCCAGCTCTAAACTGCCACTCGTCTTTTTTCTCTCTCTCCCCACCCCGCTCTGGGCTGCAGGTGCGGACTGCGTCTCCTCCCCCGCTCTAAACTGTCAATACTAACACACGCAGCTAAACCGTCACTTACACAGTCCATGGACCAAGAACAGAGTCAGGTGATCAGAGACAGAGCATCAGAGAAATGAATTATTCCTGCAGGAACAGAGGAAACACCACAAGGCTCAGCTGATCACCTGGTTACAAGTTCTGGAAGTTTAGCTCATTTCAAGGCAACATATATTTTGTTGTATGTTACATTTATGCTCAGCAGATTTTAAGCTTTAATTTTATTTAATTATTTTGGGAAACTGCAGCTGCACTTTAGTTTTTGTGGTAGATTTTATTGATCTATATTTTGTGCTGACTTTTTCAATCTAAATAACAGAAGGATCATTTTTATTTTTATACTTGGAGACTGAATACTTTACTAAATAAAGGAATTTCAGTCAAATTAACCCTTGATTTTTTTAAATTTTATATAATACTGCAAAGCAACATCTTAAGTTAATTTAGTCAAATAACTATGATTTCTGTTTTTTTTGTTATATCACGAAATTTTATCGTCAGAATGCTCTGAAATATCACAATATTATATTTGAGCCATATCGCCCACCCCTACAAACGAACACAGAATGATAGGTCCAGGTATCGGTCCAGGTATCGGTCCAGGTATAGGTCCTGGTATCGGTCCAGGTATAGGTCCAGGTATAGGTCCAGGTATAGGTCCAGATATCGGTCCAGGTATCGGTCCAGGTATCGGTCCAGGTATCGGTCCATGCATAGGTCCAGGTATCGGTCCAGGTATCGGTCCAGGTATCGGTCCAGGCATAGGTCCAGGTATCGGTCCAGGCATAGGTCCAGGTATCGGTCCAGGTATAGGTCCAGGTATCGGTCCAGGTATAGGTCCAGGCATAGGTCCAGGTATAGGTCCAGGTATCGGTCCAGGTATCGGTCCAGGTATAGGGCCAGGTATCGGTCCAGGCATAGGTCCAGGCATA